TGAGACAACAGCGTGCTTCATAGTTGAAAGTAAGTGAAAGTACTAAAATAATGATCTGTTCTTTGACAGAACAAAGCAGGCTTTAGGATCAGGTAAGTGTTACTATATTTTTATATATTTAACAGAAGCTTAGCAAATGTGCACCTCAGTACAGCCTTTACGCTTTCACAGGAACAAAAGAAAGTAGAACGAAATGTCAGTGCAAAAGGATGAATCAAAGATCTTTCACTAAACAATTCCCCATTCTGGCCCTAAAGATGAGGCCTTCTTTGAACGGATTCTGTCTGCTCATGAATGTACCAACTGAGCCAGCGACACCCTGCAAACAAGTCCTCTGACGTAAACAAAGCAGGCAGAGGTGTGGGATGAAAGGGTGCCTCCACACCAGCACGAGAGGTCTTTTCCCAGGATAGCTCACCTAACGGGCAGGAGTGAAGCTGAACTCCGGTGTAGAGCAAGCAAATGAATTGTGGTCTAACTGAAAATGTGGGTCTTGAATCACTTGCAGGTGAGCCTTAAGGAACCAAAGAGAGAGGAGGGAAAAAGTCTGAAACAGGAATACAAAGAAGTAGATGTAACCAAGAATACGCCTCTCGGCGTAGAGTTGTGAGGAGGTACAGTGTTACGGGCTAGATGGTCTGAGGACTCGTTTTCAGGGTTGCTCATGCCCACCATTGTTTTAGTTGTTTTAGTTGCTGGCTGAAGGCAGTGCATTGAGCTGGGTGTTTGTGCCTTTTTCCATCGTGGTCGGTGCCCTTTTCAAGCATTATTGCCCAAAACCACCAACCAGGTGGTTTGGTCCACTTTCAAAAGTGTGGTGTGAAGCCAAATAAAGGTGTTAAAGGTTTGTGCCACTCTCTTCCTAATAAAACAGAGCAGCCTGAACTGTGCTGGTGTAAAATCACCCCAACGTGATGATGTTGACGTAGAGCACAAAACATGACAGGTACGTCAAACAGCTACAGTGCTAAATCCAGAGGCTTTACCAGCATGACCCAACCCAAGCACTACATGTGTTTAAGGCCCTGTCCACACGTAGCCAGGGATCTGCTAAAACGTAGATATTTCTCTACGTTTTGGCCTGTTATCCACATGAAAACAGAGTTTTTTCACACGAAAACGGATCTTTTTAAAATCTCCGGCCAAAGTGAAGATCTGTGTTTTCTCCGTTTTGGGTGTCTGCGTGTGGACAGACAAAACTAGAGTTTTAAGGTCAGCAACGTCACTTTCCGCAACAAAAAAATGCTGACATCACGTGTGCGACCTGTGTTTACACTAGCCGGCATCATGGAAGCCCTCAGAGCTGCGCTCTGTCACTACCCAATCCATCAATTGTCCGAGCGCTTTCTGCTTGTTTGTTTTTGCAAGCGGAATTACTGCTCCTTGCGGAAGACCACAGACGAAGGACGAGGTTAAGAACGGGGGAAGTACTGCCGCCTACAGGTCTGGCAGGTCCTTAACAACGTATTTATCCGGGTACGTGTGGACAGAGTTTGTTTTTAAAACGCGGTGGTGTGGATGCAAGTTTTTGGAGGGGCGGATATTCGTTTTAAAAAAAAACCCGGCTACGTGTGGACTAGGCCTAAGTCATGAGATAGACCAGTCTTTCTTAAAGAACATGGCAGCACAGTTAAAGGGGCAATATGTAAGAATTCTACAGTGAAATAATCACAGTCTAAAGTAACCGTTTCAAGTCTGCAAGGTTGCTGAGTTTGCACCGAGATAACGCAGCAGCGTCGGCATTTGTAATACGACGGCCGACAAAAGGCTGTTATAGAACCGATGCCAATAAACAGGAGTGACAGAAGTTATTTCTTGCACCCCTAAGAAACCACTGCATCCTTTAGTTTTATTCTAATGCTGCGTTCCACTTGTCCTCAGGACCCAGAATTTCTGAGCAGGAAATGACACGACGGGCTCGTTTTACGTTCCAGCTTCCAACTTGGAAAAAATGGACACCACCAGTGCTGTTGAGTACTAAAAGAACTTATAACCAAGTATTCTCTGCACCCAAATAATAGTGACACATACGCTCTTCGACAGTTGCCACATACAACCAGAGAAACGTTACAAATCAAATGCAAAAATATAAATGCTAACAAAAGGAAATAATCTGGTGATTATCTTAGGATAGAAGAGGCCGCCTAGATGATCATAAAACTTCTAAAAGAAGTCTTATTCTCTCATGCAGTGTGTAGGACTTTAAGCTCTAGTTAGCGATCAGCTAACACAACACCAACTGTTAGCTCTACCTGTAAAACTGACTGAATTAGAGCCACTTTTGTACCTTGATAATATTGACTGGTTGTGACAGCCCTCTTGAATTGAGTTGACCCCAAAAAATTAATCAGATGTAGATGCACATCTGATAATTACTTCCTGAGAGTATAATTAAAATCCGTCCAGTGGTTCAGGTGACATTTTGCTAACAAACAGATTAAAAAACAAACACAAACATTGTTTCGAGCCTTCTGCTTTGGAGTAGTTATATCTGGAAAATTCACACAGCTGTCAAGGACATCACATACCAGCGAACCCGACGATAATCGGGTCTGTGAGCAGCCTGGAGAGAATGCTGCCTTTCCACGTCATTAGGTCAATTATTGCATTGTGCACAAGGGCCATTAAGAAGAGCCAATGCAGGTCACGAGGACCGGGAGTTAGAGATCATCAGCAGCCTCATTGGAGATCACTTAATAAATCTCAACAGTTATGGCACACACGTGCAGTGGAAAGCATAGACGAGCATCAATACCTTTCTGCAAGTTGCAAATTGCTAATAAATTCTACACCAGTCCCCCTCTGGACTACTGATTAGATTAACTGGTTTCTAATTCACTCTCTCTCTCTTTTAAATCCATTTTCTTGAATTAATTAGTTTTAATATGCAGTATTTGGTTACACCATAGCTCCCTGCTTTTGTCACACTTCCATTGCAAATGTGATCAAAGACAATGATATCACTCTCAGATAGAAATAGAAGCTTCACAGCCTCCTACAAACACTAATGTATTCAATTAGACTATTGTCACTCAAGACGTGACCTCTGTGTGACCTCCGACAACAACTCCACAAGCTTCCTTTTTTCTGGGTGTTGTTGAGACTCTGCTTATGAGTAAATGTGAGAAAATGCACCACGGTGTGATCAAATTGAAGACTTGACAATGTGTAGAAGAGCGGGACTCGTTGTTTATTACATGTTTACGTTTATATTTGCGGAGAAAAGACAGGAATGTGTATGAGGGTAAGGTGAGGTAGCGTTTGTCTTGGAGGTGAACATAAGACGGGATGAAGACTTTACGAGCTCTAGTCGCCACAGCTGAACTTTTTACTGCTGAGTGACATATCGCCTGGCTTGATGTATAACCTTTCTTTTTTATTTCATTCGCTGCTATCCATTTCTTTCTCTGCACGCTTTCCCTTCTCATCCACACCCCCTCCCTCCCCGGTGTGTCAGTACCTTTCTTCCCCTCCCTCTCTGTGTGGAAGTAAAGGCTGATGGAGTGTGAAATTAGAAAGTGTATCATATTCTGCTCTGTGGCTCCGTGTCCTGAGTTATAAGCTACAGCTAGTCAGAGTGAGAAATAACACGCAGTGAAACAGATACATTAACATGGTTTTGTGTGTGACTGTGAACAGAGTTTATGTGTGGTGAAAGGCAGATAGGGAACAGTTTAACCAGCTACTGCTTATCTAAAATTACTTATCTAACAGACACTGCCTCAGCAGCTCACACAGGTAAGGGCCGATCTATTTAAAGGACACCAATATTCACAACAGGTTTGTTGGAGGAGAGGAAATAAACTGAACTGACCGTTATTAATACAGCCTTCATCGTTTTATATGTGGAGGAATGCAGTGACAGTTTGTTGTCTGAAAATATCAAAGACTTAACCCGTCGCATTTAGTAAAGTGAAGCCAAACTTTAGAGCGCATTCATGTTCTAGTCGGAAATTCGGCGATCCGAGGAGAAAGCGAACACATCATTAGCAAAACGGAAGCTAACACACCGTATCAAGGTAATGTTATGTTAAACATTTTATTTACCTACCGGAGCAGATTAAGATGAGGATGTCTCACTTAGATCGTTGTCTGTCGCTGGTTTCATCATCACCCAGTTACCCATCACATTTAGTGAAGTGGACCCAAGCTTTAGCGTGCGTTCTTTCTACCCATGCTGCTCTGTTTACAACTGGCTCGCAGCGACCGACGACATAACGCTCTTGCGCGTACGCAGCTGTCTTGGCAAGTTCTCGTTATGAAGGACGGGTACCGAAACGAGGCACCGTTTGAAACGACGTGAATCGGTGCTCAGTCGGTACTATGGAATTCGGTCGGTACCTTAAAAAGTACCAAATTCGGTACCCATCCCTGTTTACTGTTATTGTGTTTTCCTTATTTTAGGGTTTATCAGTGTGTTAAAGGCATTACAAGAACTACTTTTGGTTTTCAGAGACTGTAACAGTTTTTGTGCTAGCACTACAACTTTTTGTTATGTGCTATAAAATGTTTGTAGCACCATGCTACAAGCTAAAAACGTTAACGTGCAGCCCCGTATTATCGGTTTTCTTACCTTCACCTTCCTGTGTTCTAAATTAGAACATGTGATGTGGTAAAGTAAGAAAAGAATTTCTAAAGCACTTTGACACGGGAGAGGTAAAACACCTGTGATTATCATATACTGATCAACACATTGACAACATACTTGTAGGTTCTGACGACGCTTTTACAAGGCGTCTGCCATTAATTCACACAAACACGTGTACAGTGCTTTGTGTTATTGTCACAAGACTGATGAATGGGGGAATAAGGGATACCGTCAGTTTGCTCAAGAGCATGCCAACACTTAGGAGGGGCTGTGAACTGAGCAATCGGTCCTTTGATTGAAAGACAACCACCCAAACACTTGAGCCATGTTTTCTCATTTCACAACAACCCTCCATAAGCAAGTTTGCGTTTACGTAGTGGTTTTGTAGAGCCATGGTGATCTGTGCGTTTACCTGCTTCAGACCTGACACTTCTCCTTTTAGAAGCGGCGCAGAGATGGACGGAGTGAACGGTGTGCTGTCTTCCACCGGTTTTCCCTTCATAAAGTGTTTTCCTGCCTCGTAAACGTCCACTTCAATCATCTTCCCTTTGAATTCTGCTCTTTTAGGTACCAGCACCTGCAAACCATAAATACACCACAAACAATACAACAAGTTAAAAAAAACATTCCATTCGGGATGTGATAGACCACGCCTCTCAGCATAACGGTTATTCTGTACCAACCACAGGAGTAACAATCCCACCTCTGACACCACTGTCACGCTGAGAGGTGTGGTGTGGGGAAGGAAGGATCATCAAACAGCCTTTTCTCAAGCTATTTATTTTCCTCCTTCGCAAACGGCGAAACTAAAAATGTACATTAACAAAGCAGCATTTCTGTGATTTCCTCTGAATGACAGAACGTGGTCAGAATCAGATTCTCTGAATGTTTCTTCACATCTGTCAGCTACATCTGCAATTAGCTGCTGCTCAGAGCTGCTTCCTGCACACTGTTGTTTGGCCACTGTTAAAAAGAAATAACATCCTTTCAATCCCATTTATGTAAAACCTCAAGGTCAGGAAGTATGGCAGCAGCTGTGAGACAAACTGCAGGGATTTGAGGTTTTCTTGTTCCAACACCATGGCAACGACAAACCTTGGCTGGTCACAGCAGGAGGAAAGAGAAAACAAAGAATTATAATTACGCCTTCCTGTGAATTGAAATTTGTTCCTAATGACTTATTCCTGTAAATTAAAAAAAAAAACGTATGAAAAATCCTTTCCTTTAAAAACACGTTTCAGACGAGCTACGAAGCTGACAGAGAACAGAGCGATGTGCTGTGTGCATTTATAGCTCTGATTCGTTAGTCTTCTGTTTTTTCTCTTAATCTCTCTTTGTGAACACTAATTGGATGGTTTGTTTTGTATGATTATTGGTGGGATTTAAAATTGCAGCTGTACAGCTTAAGTAAATTCTATTTAGTTTATAAGTTTTTGTTTACTTTACAAACATCTAAACTTTCAAAGTGAGGAAGAAAAATTCCCTCCGCGTGTAATTCATGCTCTCAAGAGTTCATAATAGTATCGTTATTAAAGAATTTAATCCGTCAAACTGCAACTGCAACAGTACTTTCCTTTTTATCAAGCTGTTTAAAGAATATAATGATCAATAAATCCTCTCTTTGCTTGCCCTTTCTGTCAGTGGATCAGACTGAAATCAGCAGCCGTGGACATGCTGGGAGTTCTGAGTCTCCAGCCAGCAGGGAGGCTACATGTCGAGTCAGATCATGTGGTGGTCTGTCTAACCATTACGCTACTCTGCAGGGTTAAGTCACCGACGGGGCAGACGATAGCGCACGGACCGCTGAGAGATTGTCACCGCTCCAGCGGCAGGACTGGGCCTGCCTCAGTGTTAATCTGTTGGTTTTAATCCAGCCGGTGGAATATGATGGAGGAGAGGGAGCGCACGCCAAACAGACACACAGCCGGCGATACACCTGTCCAATCAACACACCTGCAGCTGAACACTCTGACCCCATCAGTGTGTGTGTGTGCGCGTATGTGTGTGTTTGTGCATAATAGTAGCCAGCAGCCAGACTGTGAGAAGAGAGGTGAAACAGCAGGGAAGAGCGGGGGGCAGCTGTGTGTGTGTGTGTGTAGGTGTGTGTGTGTGTGTAGGTGGATGAGGGTCATTTTTGGACCATTTCATATGATTAAATGATGAAAGAGCACGTCCAATTTCATTGTAAAGCATTTCCGCTACTTCCTCGTTTAGGCGCTAACACACACACACACACACACACACACACACACACACACACACACACACACACACACACACACACACACACACACACACACACACACACACACACACACACACACAGCAACAGGAAGTGGTTTGGATAACCCACCTAATATAAGTGCCAGCCCAGATATAATCTGATTGTGTAAAATGAAACCAGACCTCCTAATCATGGTCACATACATCTGTATCTTTGTGTCAAGGTGCCTCAACTTCCCACTACCGCCATGATGGGATAAAATATTCTTAAATAATTCTTCGTATTGCTTTTTATGTCACGATTAAAACTTTCAGATCAGCAAGTAAATTTCGGCGCCAGACAAATAACAATATTAAGATTTCCAATGATGATTTTTTTAAAGATCAAACACGTTAGAGAAGCCAAGCCCTATGTGATAAAGTAATTGCCCCCTTTAATAAATCATAAATTAACTGATTAACATTATGTTGAGAGCCGAGCAATACTCTGCTGACCCCAAAACCCACAAAGACCTGTCTCATGTTTGCCAAACAGCATCTTGGTGATTCCCAAGACTTGTCTGGAAACATTCTGAGGATTGACGAGACAAAAGTGGAACATTTTCCTGGAAGGTGTGCACACTCTTCCATCCTCCAACGGCATTTTAGAACAAGAATCTAAAACGGACTGTCAGACACGGTGGTGCTTGAGTGATGGTCTGGGACTTTTTTTCTGCGTCCGTACCTGGACCACTTGCTGTAACTGATGGACAAGGAGGATGTCTAACCATTGGTTGGGCAAAATTTTTCATCTAACAAATAAAAAGGGCAAAGTATTCACGCAGGTGACGTTTATCCACTTTGTGGGCCTGACACACTCGTTGCACGAAACGATCCACCAATCAAAATCATTCTAAATCAGTTTGAAGAAGAAGCTCATGAGGAGTCCTGATGTGAGAGATTGGTGTTTTCAAGGATTTATTGGTTATATGATGCGTTAATCAACAATAAGCTTTTGCCACAGCTCAGGGGGCAACACCTGCTGAATCAGGTAAGACGCTTGAAAAAGTCTTAAGGCTGATGAGCGAGAGAGTCCTTATGATGACAACAGCGATGTATTATGTTGGATTGTGAACATAAAATGAATGAATTAACTGTTTTAGTGTACTTTTATTGGACCCTTGTGGACAAACGTTTGTGTTTCTACAGTTTATCCTCAATTGTAACTAACGCTAATGCTTTTATTCTGAAAAATAAAGAGATATATTTAGGGAAACGAAGAGAACCTGAATGAAACTTGTCCCACTTACTGTACGTGTTCTTCAGGAGGACAGATTCAGTGACACATCACCTGTTTTTTATTATAGGTGTAATTTAAGAGAACAAGAGGGCTCGCTGGGGAAAACATCAAACACGAACTCCTTTAAAGTACACTCCACTGACATATATGCCTGGATATGCACACGTGCACACTCAGATGATGGAGTGTGCACTCAAACAACACACGCATGAACCAAGTAACACTTGTAACTTAAGTTTATAGCCTGCAGAAGGAGGTGCAGAGCAGGAGGAGAAGGGCGGAAAAGGGGAGGGGAGGAAAGTGGAAGTGAGGAAAAATTATTACCATCCCGTGCCCTCTCTGCTAATAAAAAACATCACTTCAAACATGTTTCTGATGACGGGTAAAGCAGGAGGAAATTGATTTATTTGAAGATGTTTTAAAGTGAATTTTTCACAGGTTGACTGAGGGTCTTTGAAGCTATGCGATCGGCGTGCCTCACTCTGTGTGTGTGTGTGTGTGTGTGTGTGTAACGTATATGTCTTTAGGGCTGACCTTAATGTTAGTACAGTTAGAAAAAAAGGCAAAAAAGTGTTGCTGTTATCAGCTGCCAAATGCTCTCATGAACCCCGCAGGGTGTGTGTGTGTGTGTATGTGTGTGAGCATGTTTGATATTATAGCTAACCTACTTTAGTCAACACAAGCTAAGCCTGTGACACCTGCTGTGAGAGCTCCTATGACAGCCAAAGCTAACCTTCTGATCTAATTTACTAAGCGTGAAAACGAGGAAGGGTTGCTTCAGCTCCAGATCCTAAAGAAAAAGTCACCACTTGAGGATTAATTTACATCGTTTGTACAGCGTGTTGTCAGTGATTGGGCTGCTGAGCATGTCTACAGACTTCTGCGGGTGAATCAGCAAAATCTTGTCATGGGTCAAAAAATAATAGACCGATAAAAATAACATGAACTATAGCTAAAGCATGCTCCAACACATTAGACTTCTTCCTTCGATAAAAGTGCTTTCAGGCCTCTGTTCTGCCTTCGAGTGAAACTAAAGACGTTTTGGGACCCTCACATGCTGCATGGACCAGTCACACTCCCTTAATTCACTCAGGTCACTACTGAGCTGAGACGATGCCTAACTGAAGCAGGAGTTAAAGGAGACCCATCTGTTAAATGGAGTTATCGGGAATATCAAAAATCAAAGGGCCTATCAAAACCTGAGAGATGGGAAACAGCTACCACTTCTCAAACCAGAGATTCAAATTAAAGCTGCAAAACAAACTGGTTTTTAAACACAAACACGGTCGTAGATCTTTCACCCCTCCCGTCGGTTCTCATCTCCAAACCGCAGCTGGCGGAAACCAGAACCCACATTGCCAGGGAAAACGAGAGAGCGCTAAACACCGGTTTCTAGGTCCAAACCTCTTTGGTTGGCCGTGAATTCAAATGGTGATTTTCTTTTTGGGACTCGGGTAGTTTGTCCTAAAGCTGAAGTGGTAGCAGCCGGCTGTTTCTCCCCCTCTGATACTATTGAGTGGAGAACCTCTCACACCAGTGGTGTTCTGTTGATGTGTGGACGATCCAGGTGAGAGCGGAGGTGTGAAACTGACAACCGAAAGATCCAAATATATTTTTTAATCTTCACAATGTAATTAACTCTATATTATGTTAAGGGGCAGGAAAAGAAATGTTATAAGCTAGCTTGTTATGCAGATTGTAGCTTTAACTTTGTGATTTCTTCATCTTTGTTCAAATGAAATTCAAGCATTTTTCTGGCTCTTTCCATTTGAGTCTGCCAGATTTTAAGGTACCTTACACTGGTGATGATTCTCTCTCTCTCTTCTTTGTAAGAACTGAATTAATATCAGATTCTGCCAATAAAAGGGCTCTAAAACAATTCATATGTAAATATTTTGCATATTTATTGCAAAATCTCATTTTTCTGCTTTAGTGCTGCAACAAGATTTTATTAATAATAAATTATTATACCTTTTGTTTTACTACAGCATCGGTAAGCTTCCTGTGCACAGATTATTAAGGATGCTTGTTTCAGCTGTGAGATTAGACGATAGGATCAATGAAAAAATAAGTTG